TCTCTCTCTCTCTCTCTCTCTCTCTCTCTCTCTCTCTCTCTCTCTCTCACACACACACAGAGTTCATGCAACATTACATTTACTTCCTCCCAGGAGGCAGTGGTGGGGGATGAGTTTTATTTTCCACAACCCTGTGGCTGGTCAGTCTTTCTTTTGCCTCCACTGCTGACCGCCAGGCAGTGTGTCAGTGACCTCAGGCAGCCAGATTTCATCCTCTTGTCCACAGAGGGAGGTTGGAATCTCCTCCAAACTGCATGTCACAGTTTGCAAAACCCAGTTCAGTATGAGTTGAACGATGCAAGAGACCCGTGCTCAGAGGAGCAGGCTGACTTCATGCAAGCCCTGGCACTGAGCAGCAGGTCAGTCTAGATACTGTAATGCCCCCACTGTCTTTCTCTTCAATGCAGCTTGTCTACATTGCTTGGTTTGGGGATCTAAACACATTTTCCTTTGTTTTTAAACTGATTCTAAAGTATTCAAGAATCCATTTCTTTTTTAGGGGGTGAGGGGTGGTGCTGGGGATTGAACTCAAGGGCACTCAACCACTGAGCCACACCCCCAGACCTATTTTGTATTTTATTTATAGACAGGATCTCACTGAGTTGAGATCCTGTGCCTCATCATTGTTGGGCTGGCTTTGAACTCATGATCCTCCTGTCTCAGCCTCCTAAGCCAATGGGATCATAGGTGTGTGCCACTGCATCCAGCCAAGAATACATTTCATATGAACATTTTTGCAATGTGCCTTAAGTTCATCATGTTTATGATTTGTCAAAGTGGGGTGTAAACATTCTATCAAAGTGTGTTGGCCATTGTGGTCTACTTTTGTGGAAAGAGGGAGTGAGGCATGCTTTAAATACTTCCTCCTCCAGCCAGGAGGCTGAAGCAGGAGGATTGCAAGTTCAAAGCCAGTCTCAGCTACTTAGCAAGGCCCTAAGCAACTTAGCAAGACTCCATCTCAAAATTAAATTTTTTTAAAAGGGCTGGGGACATGGCTCAACCCAGTGGTTGAGCACCCTGGGTTCAATCACTGGAATAAAAAAAAAAGGAAAAATACTTCTATAAACCATACATATAAAAAGGATGCAGTTTCTGAGAAAAAGGAAACATGTGATTCCTGAGTGACCACATACAGCCCAGCCATTCTGTCTGCATAGACTGCCTGGACTGTCTCTGAACAGAGAAAGGTTTTTTTTTTTTTTCTTTCTTAATCCACTGCATTTTCTTTTATTGCTTTTTTAAAGTTGCTTAACTTTTATCCTGACAAGTAAAACACATAAGTAGACAATCAACATTTGCTGAATATTGAGGAAGTGTATGAATGACATGTAAGTGAATGTATATTTCCTCATAGGCCTGGAACAATGGATCTTCCTGTACCATTTTGCTTGACTTGTTTCTGGAACAATGTGTCTCCAAAGATACCAACCTGAGCAGGGTCGTGTGAGGACAGGAATGCCAATAGCAGAGGGGCATGGGGCCACCTCTGCTCATGCAGCTGCTGGTGGGATGCTGGGACACTGGGGTGGAAACCCTGGCCTCCACGCACTCTGGGGAATGAATACGACAGTATCACCAACCGCCCCAGCAAACGCTCATGTGTCAGAGATTTTTTGAAATGAAAAATTCAAGAGCAGATGGCAAAATAAAGACTCTTTACAAATGTGAAGTCTATGCTTTGTCTGTGTGCACATTACACGTTTTGTGTGCCATCAACATTTATGCCACTTCTTATGGATAATGAGCTCACTTTGCCAGCTCCATTTATGGCTAATAACAATCAACAATCCCAGTTATTGACATTTCAGTTGTCACCTTCCACCACATGAATATTTATTGTCAGCACTAATAGACACAGAAAAGAAAACTGTTGAAGGTGAATGCCAAAGCAGGTCTCAGGGCAAAAATAGTCTTTTTCTTTACTTGAAGCATCTTGATCTAAACACTGCAAGAAAAACATCGGCACGGTGGATGTCTTAGAAGAATATGTTGATTATTAGGGTAAAGGGGGAAGGTGAGCCAGGAGCCTATAGGACTTGTTTGATGTATAAAATAAGCAGCAGATGTGAAGCCTTGGTCCCCAGAGTGGTTTTGGAAAGTGCTCTGTACCTTTAAGAGGGGAGGCTTAGTGGGAGGTCCTTAGGTCATTGAAGATGCCCCTTTGGGGGGACTGTGGGATGCCAGTCTTTCTCTGTACTAGTTCCAGATGTATTTGATTTGCTTGCATTTGCCACCCTTGACAGAACTGAGCTGATGCAGGTGACATGCCTTTGAACCCCCAAACTGTGAATGAAATAAACCTTTTCTCTTTATAAATTAGTTGCCTCAGGTATTTGATCGTGGTGATAGAAAACTGACTAACACAACAGGCTCTGGATCTATCAGAGCCAGACTGTCTAAATATTTTTTTAGGTTTAGAGGTCATGTAAGAGGCCCATTTCCTGCTCCAGACAAGATAACAAGCTACACTGGGTAAGGCAAAGGGTGCCTTATTGGAAAGATAGTCTGAGGGATGATATTCTATTCATTCATCCCAATGACTAGTGGTCATCTAAATTATAAATTTCTATCTTCTCTGCAGACATGGGTCACACCTGCTGGTCTGTATGCTGGTTCAGCTACAACCACAATAGATTTTATTCTCTTTCCTACTAATTATGACTTTTGAATTCTTTAGTCATCCACTTCCCTTCACATGACCAGCTCAGCAGAAATGAACTACAACAAATATGGGCTCAGAGCTGGCCACCTGCCAATCATTCTCTGCATGGAAAGAGCAGAACTTTTGGCTACCTGCCATGCCACATGCGGCAGGGTCTGGGCAGTTCTTTAGAGGACGCTTGTGGACATCCAGAACAAAATGGAGGGCCACACTCAAAACTCCACCTTGATGTTTTTTTCTTGTGGTAGTCATTTTAGAAGAAAAAAAAAAAAAAATTAACAAATGTTCTGACTACTTTGAAAATAAGTAGCAAAAAAAATCAGAACTTCAATCTCTCCACCACAAAATGTACACTGTGGTTCTATGTCATAGCCAAGCATGGGATACAGAATCTAAGACTAGAGTCATAGTTCTGTCACCTACTATTACATGAGCTCAGTCAATTACTTCAATCCTCTTGGCTTTACCATGCCCCACAAAAAGATAAAATAAATCTGCCTTATAATGTTGTTCTAAGAATCGAATGAATAAACTATACCCCATGTATGTATAATAGGTCAAAATACACTCTACTGTCATGTATATCTAAAAAGAGCAACAACAAAAAAGAATCAAGTGAGACTATATGTGTGAAGGTTCCTAGAATAATAATCAACAGGATTCCTTGAGAAAGATATGCTGAACCCAAAAGACAGGGGGACTGGAAGAATAAGAAAGAGAGAAGAAAATTAGCATTGATTGGAATCAAGTATTTTTTCAAAGAGTTATCTTATATTTTGCAAAACCTCTTGAGATAATTGATATAGCACCTATTCTAATAAGTAAAGTATGTCTTAGTCCATTTTCTATTGCTACAACAACATACCTGAGGGTGGATAATATATAAGGAAAAGAGGTTAATATGGCTCATGATATTAGAGGATGCCCACACGGAGAGACAGGAAGCAAAAGGAATTCAGGGATAGGAACTTTTTTTAAAAAATAATTTACTCTTGTGGGAACTAACTGGGTCCCTAAAGAATGACATGAATCCCTTCCCAAAGTGGTGCCCCCAATGACCTAATCATCCTCTTCTAAGTCCCACCTCTTAAAGGTCCCAACACCTCAATGTTGCCACAATGGAGACCAATTTCCCTGACACAAACCCTTCAGGGAATCACTCAAACTGTATTCAAACCATAGCAAGGTGTTCCATGTGCAGAGAGATAAAGTGATTGGACCAAGGTCAGGAAGTTTGGTAGCAACTGAGTCAAAATAAAATCTCAGGCTTATCAGACAGCAAAGCCTCATGACCAAATGTCATGAATCAGGTCTCAGGGCAGCACCTTGACACGGGAAAGAGAGAAAAAAGGGCAGAAGGGTGGAAGGACAGACACAGTGGTAAGAAAGGGAATTGAGAGACACCCCAGGGAAAGTGAGGTGCAGGAGGCTGTCAGATTGATCTCTAGGAGCCACTGGAGCCAAGGTCATGCATATGCGCTGGGATCTCAGTGCTCGCCTTCATTCGGTTTCTGATCAATTCTTCCTAGTTGCAATCTGCAATTAGCCTTCCCAATGCTAAGTTGAGGATTCTAAGGTCCCCGAGGTGAAGCACACTGTGGCTTCAGTAAGAAGGGCAAGGACAATTGTGACTCTTCTGGTGGGGTGAGATGGTGCCCAGAGTGTCTTCTTTTATACATGAAGGTGGTGCAATGTAGACCGTGCATTTCATTCAGATATTTCTTATGTGCCCTGCTCTGTAGCAGGCTTCTGGGATAAAATGATGAGGAAGACATGGTTGGTCTTGAGCAACAATAGAGTTTAGTTAGAAGCCTCAGTTAAAGGTGGGGAGGGATGGAGAAAGGAAGAGGGTTGGGGAGGAGTCTGGGGAACCAATAATCTCCACAGTGGTTTCTTCAAACCAAACAGCTACATCTCAGGCTTGTTGTGAGGGCAAGTTGGCCAGAACAGCATTAGTACAAAAGTGGTACTCACTCAAGGGCTTGATGTTATCACTAGTGTGACAAGGGAAAAGGCAACTGAGCACAGATGTCCCCAGGTGCCCCTTGCCCACACCCCACCTGCTCTGGCCGAACAGACTACTCTCTTGGCCCACCTGCCTGCTGGCTTCAGTGGGAAGGACTCTCTGAGGTGAGGCCATAGTTGTGATGTGGAATTAAAAATAGCTGATAAAAAGAGGTGAAGGACTTGGAGGAGAGGCTGAGCATTCAGAGAGAGGAATGAGACTGTGTGAGAGACATGACCCTCTGCGCTGATGGGAAGGAGAGTATGTGGAGTGTAGGTTGGGACCTGAGGCTCTGAGGTGTGGGGAGGAGGAAGAAAGGGTAGAAATATAAATTGGGCCCCCCACACCCTTATTTTTTTAGAGACAAGTTAGAGATTTAAAAGTTCCCATTTTGGATGGGTTTGGCTGCCTGTGCCTCTAATGATGACATCACAGGAGGGCGGAACCACAGGGCTTGGCACTCTAAGGCTTGCGTTACAGACAGGCACAACTGTGGAATGCACTGTGGTACAAGGGATATTTACAAAGACCTAGGGGCTCAAGAGAGGACCAATTATTTCTCCTAAACGGGTCCGAGAATGAAGCAGTTGACCTGTTTGAGGTCCAGCCTTGACTCTGATTGGATGAATGATCTTTGTAAGAATCACTTCCACTCTATGAGCCTCAACTTACTCATCTATAAACGACAGACAATTTTAAAAAACCATTCTTAAAGACTTGATGTGATGTTAAAATGAGATATTGCAGGTATGATATAAAATGAGGAGGTAGGGGCAAGCCCTGGCTGAGAACATGACTTGTGAAGCTAGACACGCATGGGTTTGGATCTTGGCTCAATATGGGCATGGGCAAATTATAGGGCATTTGTGGGAACCAGTGGATGATGCAGGTTGAGAGTTTATACAGCGCCTGGCCCAGGGCAATTGCATAGGTGGAATTAGATTTTATTTGCAAATATTGAAGCACTGTATAAGTGGCTATAACTATTTTTGTAATAATAAGGCCTGAGTAAGGCTTAATAGTAACAGGCAGTAAATGCAAAGGGATGAGGGTCATGTACTATATTAATTTCCTACTGCTGCTATAACATATTACCATGAACACAGGCTTATGTTCTCACTGTTAGGAAGGTCACCAGTGTGGAATCCATAGACAAACTGTTAGCAGGGCAGCTTCCTTCTGGAGCCCTTGGGGAGAACCTGAGTCTTGTATCTTCTTTCTTCAGATACACCCCCATTCTTTGGTTTATCGCCTCCTTTGCCCATCAACAAGACCAGCAGCAAAACAGCTTGTGTCTCTTTTCTTTCTTTCTTTCTTTTTTTTGGTACTGGGCATTGAACCTAGGGGTGCTTAACCACTGAACCACATCTCCAGCCCTTTTTATAATTTTTTTTAGAGACAGGGTCTCACTGAGTTGCTTAGCGCCTCGCTATTGCTGAGGCTGGCTTTGAATTCGCAATCCTCCTGCCTCAGCCTCCTGAGCTGCTGTGATTCAGGTGTGCGCCACTGTGCCTGACGATGTGTCTCTTATCTAACCTCTATTTCCATTTTTACAACTTCCCCTTGAAACTCATTCTACTGCCTCCCTCTTAGAAAAACACTTGTGATTACATTGGGTCCATGTGGATAATTTGGGGTGATCCTCACATCCCAAGAACTATAACTTAATCATCTCTGCCAAGTCCTTTTTTCCATGGAAAGTGACGTGTTTACAGGTTCTGGAACTGGAATGCAGGTATCTCTGGGTGATTTGATGTAGCCTATCCCAATTGTCCAGGGAAGGAAAAAGGAAATCCAAGGAGAAAAAACTTAAAAATTGGGGAAGTTTAGCACAGGTCCTGCATGGGGAGGGAGTGGGAAACTGTGGGAAATGTGGGCTACTGTGAAATAAAAGCTACAAAAGTAATATTAAAAAATAAAGGCAAAAAAATGCAGGAAATTAACTGAAGTGCGGACCCGATGGGTGGATAGGCCTGATGGGTCTGATGCTAATAAAGAGAAA